CCAAATATGGCATTTTTCTAATTCAGATGCCATTATACCGCGAGTGGCTATATCTGCTGGATTATCAATCGTATTAACATATCCAAATTTAATTCCATTATTTTTTCTTATTTCATTTATTCTATTTTCTATAAATTTTTCATTTTTGCCTCCTGCCTTTATCCAGCTTAATACCGGCTTTGAATCACACCATAAAAATTTATCTTTAATTTCAACTCCGATTTGTTTCTCTACAAATTCTAAAGCTCTTTTAGCAATAACCACGCCTAAAAGTTCCATGCGTGGTATTGTTACTTCTGATTTTCTAGGTTTCAAACGATTTCGTGCATATAATATCTGTGTATGAATTTTTCCTTCAAATTCCGATTTTATGTATATGCAAGCAGCATAAGCACATTTAGATGCATCAGAAAATGCATGCAATTGTTTTACACTTTTAATATCAGTCACTCTTCTATTAATCTCGATGGGATCTAGTGTCCATGACCTAGTGATTTCTATCCATTTCATTGCATTTTCCTTACTAATTTTATCATCCCACTTATTCTCTTTAGTCCATAATGACTGAAAGAATAATTTTGCAGATAAAAGACTAGGTGAAGCAAGTCCTAATGGATCAAACATGCTTGCTAATTCACGAAGAACTATTCTTCTAGTCACGCTTTCAGCCGAATTCACTATTGGAAATACAATATTTATCTTATCTGAAGATATTTCCCATGGTATTCCCAAAATTTTAGGCTTATTCTTCTCCAGCCTATCTTCGAGTGGGAAACTTTCATTAAGCTCCACATTATTACTGATGAATTCTCTTAAATTCATTTGAGCATCTCTAAATATCTCTTTTAATCTTTTATAAGCGAGCCAAGCTTCATTGGCCGATTCTACTCCAATAAATATATTATCCACATAGGAATTTTCTTTAGCAATCTTTGCAACAGGGTCATCACACTTCTCTAAATGATGTCTGACAGTCGCTGATAACAAAAATGGACTCGAGATTACCCCAAAGGGAACTTTTGCAAATCTTAGATATTGAATATTCTGGGTTGATATGGGTTTCTTCGTATCTTTTACCCATATAAACTTAGTCACTTCTCTATCTTCTTCTTCCAATTCTAATGTATGGAATGCCTTTTCAATATCAGCCCACATGGCAATTTTTGGCACTCTAAATCGAATTAATAATCCTGCTAAATCCGGCATAATTATTGGCCCTCGATATAAACATTCATTTAAGCTTTTTCCTTCTCGCATTCTTGCGGAAGCATCATAAACTATGCGCACCTTTTTTGTATTAATAACAGGGTGGTGGGGCAGAAAATGTTCTATTTCCCCTTTCTTCTTTTCAGCCTTTTCAATCACACCTCTTTTCAAATCATTATTAATTATTTCCTCGTATTTATCTAATAAATCTGGATTTTTCTTTAATTTATCCATGAGATTTAGAAATCTTTTATATGCCAATGAAAAATTAGATGGCAAATTGTCTTTCTCAATTTTCCATGGCCATTTTACTATATAACTTCCATTTTCATTTCTTTTAATCGTACTATTAAATAAATCTAAAGCAACTTTATCATCTTTACACACAGGATCATCTTTGACTCCTATTGTCTCTAATGACCAATAATTGTTAAGTTCCTCATTTTCCAAAGTGTTAGAACTTAATATAGTACACAAATTTTCCTTTTTATTTAATCTTTTAAATTTTTCACCGCTAATTTCGCCACAAATTATTGGCCCTACAGTCGTTTCAACTTTAAATAGATAGTCCGATAATGGTTCTATTCTTTTAAAGAACCTCCAGAAATGCTTCATACCTATAAGCATATCAGGGACTATATTTGCGCAAGCAATCTCATTTGTTCTTAAGTCTGCGCATCTAAATCTTGGCATCAAATTCTTATTAATACTATAAACTATTATTTCTTCAAAATTTCCATTATCAAGAAGAACCTTTAAAGAATAACACGAAGTTTTTAGCTTTATTGGCTCTTTTCTGAAAAATGGGACAACTCCTAATTCTGTTCTTTTTAATTTTTTCAATTTTAATTTTTCAACAAGTTCATTACATAAGAAATTAACTGTTGCTCCTGAATCAAAGAAGCATTTTGCATTTATTTTATTATTTCTCTCTTTTAACATTAAATCTGCTTTCATCAAAACAATATTATCTTCGCCGTTATCATCAATATTAAGCATATTTTCACTTATTTGATTAACGCTTTCATTTTCCTTAATCTGTCCTTTCTTTTCTTTTTCAACTTCTTTAGGACAGATTATTTTATTGTGGTCTCCTTTACATATACCACAACTATATTTCACATTACAATCTATTTTGGCATGGCCTTTCCTTAAACAAATCAAACATCTATTTTGTTCAGACAGAATGCTCATTCTCTGTCCAATAAATCTGACTTGCTTACAATTTCCAGCTAAGTGTGGACCATTGCAAAACAAACATGAAATTTCTCTTTTTTGGTTCTTTGGCGCTGTAAATACACGCGCAGGTTCCGGTTTTCTCTGATTATTTGTGTTTCCATTAAATCTCCTTTGATTAAGATTCGGCACATTTTGCCAACTATTTTTATATGCCAATGACCTCGTGCATCTTTGTGCCTCTTCTCTTAAGGCCACAATTTCTGCAAGTCCTTCTCTTAATCTTCCTACACTCCAATTTACTTTCTCCAATTTTTCCATTTTTAATAATTCTAGAACAATACTTCTTGGCAATTTATTCTTAATTGCCATCATAACTATAGATTCATCTTCTAATTGCCCCATAGCAGTCAATGATCTACAAATTCGTTCAACCTCCTCGAGATATGAACGTAAAGACCATATTGATTCGTTAGCCACTGGCAAGCTAATTAGTTCGGCATGCAGTGTATCTCTAATTGCCTTTTCATTTCCGAATTGTCTTATAAGAGCATCTTTCAAAGGCGCATAATGTTCTGATATTGGCCTATAACCCAAAATTGCCCTTTTTGCCTTACCTCTAAGACATTGTATCAAATAGTGGGCCTTTAGCCCGTTATCAATATTCAAACAATCCACCGTTCTCTCAAAAGCCTGCCAAAATTCAGGCCAACGTAGAGTATCTCCATAAAATTCTGGCAGTCTAGTCCGCGGAAGATGAGGTGGAAGCACCTGCTCACTTCTAACTGGGACTTGCTCTACATTTATATTTCTGCGGACTTCATTTGTCCGATTTAAGCCAACTCCTATTTCCTCTGAGATCTCTGACTGCGTACTACGAGCATCAGAACCTTCAGCAAGAACAATTTCTATGTCATCGATAGCCTCTCTTCCTGAGTCTATCCATTCTAAAAAATGCCGTTCCTCTATGGCATATCTAGCAAAAACACCTTCTTCGGCAACTCTTTCATTTGCCGGTAAATCTTTAATATATTTTTCCCATTTTTCAACTTTTTCTTCCACGAAATTAATTGCCCTACGGATTTTAACTGCCATTCTTTGGAGTAACTCTACTCCTTCTTCAGTGCGTTCAGTGGCATCTATGATAGGTCTTACCTCTTCAAGGTATTTTTTCAATCGTACTATGGATGGCGCAATAGTACTTCTAATCGTTCCTGACATCTTTTAATTTATTTTATTCCAATATTTCCCAATTAATCTCTTTTTTAAATCCTTTTTTACCGAGCTTTCCAAATCTCAGCTCTTCCAATAATATTTTTTTACTGAGCCTTTCCTTTTCACGGCTCTTCCAATAAATCAATTGAGCCTATAGCTCTTCAATTTATTCTTCTAACTTTTTCTTTAATAACCCGCCGTTGGGTCGTGGCACCAAATGTAAAAATACTTTCCCCTTTCTTAGGGAAAACTATTTCACCTTCCTATTCTTTAATAGGGAATTAAAATATCTTAAATTAATTATTCCCTCGGAATAATTAACTAGATAAAACAAATTAAATAAATAAACACAAACACAACTAAAATTCTTTATCTTCAAACAAAATAAATATTCACACAGAATATTAAAAAAAATGAATATCTCAAAAGACATTGAAAAGTGAAATTTCTGCCTACTTTTTATAGGCAAAAATTTCTATATAAAAATGATGCAATGTTAAGTACATTGCAAAAAAGTACATAAAAAATTGTCAAAAATGGAAAGTGACTCACTGAGTCACCTCCAAAAATAATAAACAAAATAAAAAATATCAAAAATATTTCAAATCTTTAATTCTTCAATTTCGTCATCGACAGTAGTCTTCATTTTTAATAATTCCTAAACTGATGTCTAAGTCAACAATAATTACAACACCAGGCGATTTTTTTCAAATATTTTAGGGCACAAAGATTAATCAAACATTTTGGATTTTCATAATGCCAAAAAGACAATATCCCACTTTTTAATAAAGGCCTCAAGCGAAAATTTTAAGAATTTTGGAAGGCCAACATTCTACTTCGTAGGAGGTTGGCCCAACCTCCTACAAATTTTTGAACGAGCGTCGAAGCACCGTTCATGACCTTTTATTGTTTTCATGACGATGAAAATAAATTAATAAAAATTAAAAGAAAGATAATACACAATAAAACTGTAAGCACCGCTAAAGCAATGCAATTCCAAAATTTATTCGAGCCACTCAGATCTTGGAGGGCAAGAAATAACTAGTACCTTAATACTAGGGTTTATAACCAAAGAAATGAACAAAAGTAAAAATGAAAAGAAAAATTGTTTTATAAAATTCAGACGTGATATAAAATAAAGGGAAATTACGAAAAATTGAATATAGAGCTGCATAACTCACACACTCTTTCTTCTAATTAATTTCTCTACTTATAATAAGATTCTTTAGCTTCATTTCATAATGTCAAAATGTAACAAATTTTTCATAACATCAACACTCTTTATTTCTCAAAATGGTAATACTCACAAAATATTTAAAAATGTCGTTCATTATTTTCTTTTAATTTTTCTTTTCAACTTTTCTTTTAAAAAACTTTAATTTTAGCTAAAAATTGTTTTTTTAATGGCTTCTTCTTTTCGTTTAACCGGTACTGCTTTACGCGAACTTCGAATCCATTTATGTCAAAAATCGCCAGAAAGTAACGGTGTTCGACAATTTATCGAAAATGATTATGTTGATTTAAAGAAAGGAAATCGGTTATTTCCAATTTTAATTAGAGAATGTTCGGGAATTAAACCTAAAATTTGGGCGAGGTTTTTTAATTATTTTTTAAATTTAAATTTCTTTTAAAGATATGAATATGGAATTGAAAAAAGTATTTCTGTTGAAAATGAAAGCCGCGAGAAGGTTTTTGAAATTATCAAAAATTTGGCTGAAAGAAGGAATGTTAAATAAAAGAAATGAAAATATAAGTATTTTTAGGTGAAAAATAATTAAGAAAATATTTTTTTGTTTAAATTTGTTTATAAAAAATTTTTAAAAAAAGAATTTTTTGATTAAAGAATTGTGTTTTTCTCTTATATTTTTACATTTTTTAAATTAAATTAATTTTTGTGTTTTGAAAAGGAATGGTTTATTATTTTACTTCGAATGTTGTTGATCCCCCAGCTGTTTTATATATGGGAGATGACAAAGAGGAGAATGAATTGCTAATTAAGTTGGTTTTAAAAATTAATTTTTTAATGGAAAAATCATTTTTGTTTCCATATAATTTTGTAAGGTAATTAATAGAGAGCGAGATTTTCAAAAATCCTTGTCCTTGATTTCGGCTGAGTACCTTGACCAGATTTTTGACCTTGAGTCAAGGAAGAATCAAGGAACTCTGAAAAATGGCTATATCTGGACTCTGGATCCAGGAAAAATCAAGGTCTGGATCCAGATCCAGATCGCTCTCTAGTAATTAATTAAGGTAATTTAACCTGTAAGGTCCTTTTTTAGTTCTCTTATGGAATTATCTTGTCAAGCATAATAATTCCACATAAACTTTTTAATCTTTCAAAATCATCCCACAATTTTTAGATATGGCTGGCCAGAGGATGTTTGGTTTCACGTTGATAAAGTATTTTCTTTTAAATTTTTAATTAACTTTTCTACATTTAAATTAGCTTTCTTCTGCCCACGTTTACCTTCGACTGCAAACTGGGCAACAAATTAGTGACATTTCTGAGGATTTAATTGAAGATTGTTGTCAATTAGTTAAAGCTAATTCTATTGAGGTTTTTTTAAAATAATTCTTTTGGATTTTCCTCCAAATCTTTTCCTCCAATATCCCCTTAATTCCAAATTATTTTTTAAACAAAATTTTTAAATTTAGGGCTGTAAATTATCCGAAACGGATGTAGTCTACACAATGTGGAGTAATTTAAAAAAGACTGGAGATATGGTTACTGGACAAGTTGGCTTTCACAAAAATAAGGATGTTAAAAAGGTTTTTTGAAAAAATTTTGGAAAAAGAAAATATTTTTTAAAATTTAGGTTCGGGTACAGAAACAAAGGGAAATCATTAATAGACTGAACAAAACTAAAACTCACGCAACTGGTGTTGATTTTCGACAATTAAGAGAGCAAAGGGATATGGAAGAGCGTCAGAAAGTGGTGAGAAAAATATTTTTTTTAATTTTTGTGGTGGGGGAGGGGAGGGGGAGTTGTTGATTTATGTTTTTTCAACAGTGTTTTCTTATTACTCCCAAAGATTATGTTGGGGTAAGGGGCAAAACTCCGTCCTTACCAAAAAACCGCCAGAATAAAGGGAAAATGGCAAGAAACACCTTTGAAAGGAGCAGCCCCCGTAGTCTGATTCTCTCTTTAGACAGTATTCTTATCGAACTGAGTTTTGGTGCCCTACCACGGTTTTGTAATAACTAATTTTTTTTTAAATATTGCTGGTAGACTTCCAAAATGTCAAATAATTAACAAAATGCCCAACTAATTCTACAAACTTTTTTTTAATTTTAGAAAGAAAAACAGAAACAATTCCTTAATGAAGAAAAAGCTAAACGAGAAGCTATTGAACGAGAATCAAAAAATATGAGTTATGACCGTGTCTTTACCCCTGAACAAATGTCAACAACAAACAAAAATACAGAAGGAAGAGATCTTGAAGAAGATTTTATGTGAAAAATTTTTTTGTGTTTTTTGTTGTTTTTTGAATTGACAATAAAGGATAAATTAATTTCTAAATAATTTTTCGAACTACTTTCTTTTGAACTTTAAAGAAGAAAACATTGGCTGTTCATTTGACTAAAAATAAATGACAGAAATTGCTTCAAAGGTGCAATAAGAAAATGTTGACGCAAACCAGGAAACACAAACCACTTAAACAATACATTTTAAGCACTGCAAAAGCAATGCAATTCCAAAATTTATCCAAGCCACTCAGATATTAGAGGGCAGGAAACAACTAGTACCTTAATACTAGGGTTTATAACCATAGAAGCAATCAAAAGTAAAAAAGAAAAGAAAAATTGTTTTATAAAATTTAGACGTGATATAAATTAAAGGGAAATTGTGGAAAATTGAATATAGAGCTGCATAACTCACACACTCTTTCTTCTAATTAATTTCTCTACTTATAATAAGATTCTTAGCTTCATTTTATAATGTCAAAATGTATCAAATTTTTCAAAACATCAACACTATTTATTTCTCAAAATGGTAATACTCACTAAATATTTAAAAATGTTGTGTTTAAAAAACTAGAAATTTTCATAAAATATTTAAAAAATTTTTTGTTTCAATTTTTCTTTTTGAGAATTATGTTTTTGTTTGAAAAATTGTTTAAATTTGAACGGACAAATTTTGTTTTAATTTATTTATTATTGGGAGGAAAAATAAAAAGAACGAAGTCTATAAATCATTTTTTCATAGAAATCCAAAATCCCGAAAATCAAATACCCCTTCACTTTCAAATATTTATTAAAATTTATTTATCAAATAAAGCTTGGATTTTTCTTAACATTCTTTGATAAAAAATCATTAGAAGAAAGCAAATTAAAAATTAAAACAAAAAATAAGGAGAAAGAAAGAGCTTTAACCCCCAAAAAGTTATTAACATTAAAAACTTTTTCTTCTCTCCTTTTTCAAAAAATAATTAATTTAAGAATAAAAATCTAAATTAGAAGGAGAACAATATTCTTCTTGTAAACCAAAAACAGAAATATTTTGATATTTTCCACAACAATTAACATGTCCCCCAGCATTTGGTTCTTTCCCATTAGCTATTGAAGATAAATAACAGGGAGGGACAAAATGGGTAACAGAAAGTGAACGAATTGCTGAATATGTTGCTGCTAAACCTCCACATATTCCAAAAACTTGAAAAAATTTTTTGTTAATAATTTTTAATTAAAATATTTTTTATTTTCTTTTCCCTTCCCAAAAATTATTTTTCATTAATTTATTAAATGTGTCCGATCCTTGTGGAAAAAGAGATTGGAAATACAAACTGGAAAGGTTTATTTAATAATCAAAGCACTACTAACAATAAATAATTGGAATTAATTAAAGATTGGAATTTTTGAAAAGCCTGGACCTGTTCCTGGACTCTGGGTTTGATTCATTGACCTGGACTGGATCCTGAGCCTGTAGTCCGGGAAAAAACCAGGCCCAGGAAAACCCCAGGAAGGTCAAGAATGGCTGGGCCTGGACTATGGGTACAGGAAAGCTCCAGGCCTTGGTCCAGACCCAGGCCGATCTCTAGAATTAACTATTTAATAATTTTAATTATTAATACATAAATACCTATGTACATTTTATCTCTTTTTCCTTTTTATTAGAATAATTTACTTTTAAATTTTAATTAAAAAATGTAAATTGTTTATAGTTATTGTTTATAGTTAATAAATTTTTTAAATAAAAACTTACGGTACTTATCGGTTATCTCCCCACACATTATTTTCCTTTTATTTCTCCTTCTTCCCATAAGTTACAAAAATGCCACATTTTCTTTCCCTGTTTTACCTCTTCTTTTTCTTCCCACAAGTCTATATACCGTAAATACTCTAATATAAGCCCTGGACTTATATTTTTCAACGGGTCACACTGACTGGGCTTCTATTAGAGGCTGGGCTTATATTTTTCAATGGGTCTTCTTGGAGGGCTTATATTAGAGGAGGGCTTTTATTAGAGGCTGGGCTTATATTAGAGTATTTACGGTAGGTATGTATTTTTAAATTGACTTAAACGTTACCATTATTTGCCTGTGACATTTTTGTAACTTTTGGGAATAAGGTGAAGAGAAAAAACAGGGAAAAAATATGTGGCATTTTTGTAACTTATGGGAAGAAGAAGAAGGGGAAATAGAAGGAAAATAATGTGTGGGGAGATAACCGATAAGTACCAAACTTACTAATAATAAAAATATAACCAAATAAAGTTAATTTATCAGTTCTTTCAACAACACTTTAAAAATTAATTTAAATTTAATTAATTAAAAATTAACTAAACTCTTTCCAATTAGCAATTTCCCAATCTTCCCCCTCCTCCTCTTCCCCTTGTTTATTTATATTTAATCCATTAATTTTTGTTTTATATTTAATTGGTTTTTCGTTTGATTTAATTTCTGCTGCATTCAAAAAAAGATAAAAAAGTGAAGGAAATACTAGAGAACACAACATTAGTACAGAGCCACCTTTTAATTAAAATTGAAATTGAAAGAAAAATTTTAAGGGATACTATAATTATTGAATATATTAATTAATTTTAAAAGTCCTAATTTGAAATAATAATAAAAAAAAATAAATAATAATAAAAAATAATCATTTATTGATACAATTTTGGGCTGAAAATTTTGTAAAATATAGAAGAGTGTTTATTATCCATTGTTTTGTGTATCTCTTATTATTGTACATAAGAAGTTATAACTTTTATCGAGTTATAACTTTTTAACGAGTGATCAGACTTGATATATCCTACTAGAAAAAAAGTTTTGTTCTAATTGGATCAAGCTTAAAAAAGTTATAGCCAATCAATGTCGGATGGCACTCTATTGTGGGCGTATAAAATGATTGATAAGTACAAATCATTTTGCCATCTATGGCGATAAGTTTTTTGTCTTATGGTCCGGGACCTCTGTTTTCAGCAGGACATGTATTCCATGAGAATGTTTTACAGGAAAAGAGAGCTCTACTTAACCAGAAGAGAATGTGGGGGGAAAAACGGATAAATACCTAATTAATTTACCCATTAAATCAAGTAAAGGCCCAAAAGAAGGAACAGTTTCAGCAACAAACAAAACTAAAATCATCATTCCAGTCCTCACAACAACCCTTTTCCAACCAAAATCTTTAAAAATTAATTTAAAAAAATATTTTTATTTAAAAAATAACCGTGTGGAATATTAAAAACTTCTTCAACTTTTTGATTTAAAGGATTATTTACAATAATTATTGTAAATATTAAATGTAAAGTTATCATTAAATTAACAATCTATTTAATTAATTTAAGGTTATTTTTAATAATTTAAATACTTGTTGTATCCAAACATGTTGTAAAGAATTAATAACAGATTCTCGAAGACTATTTCCATATGTCATATAGCCAATAATACAGACTGGGGTATACATACAGAAGAGAACTAGGAGGGGGGATTTTTTATTTTTATTTTTAGGAAAATTTTTTAATTAAAATTTTCTTTAATTAACACAACTATAATAAAATTTTTTAATTATTAGGCATTAAAGTCTACTAGATTTATTTTTTTCTTTAAATAAAAAAACAAACTAGAAAAAGACAACAAAGAAGATTTTTCAAAATCTTCAGGTTTTCTCATATCATTTTGAATTGTTGGAAATGCTGGATGTCCTCCATAGGCAAATAAAAGAGTTCCTACAGCCAAGAAAAAATTTGTAATTTGAAATTCAGGAATTGAATGGTGTTGTCGGCATTCTCCAAAATCGAGTAGAGAACCGATACAAATTAAGATAACTGCCTAGAAGAAAATTAAATCAAAAATTATAGAAGAGAAGGAATATACAGAAGTTAATAAAAAATATGAAGATTTAATTATGTTAACGTTTACAGAAAGACTTAATTATATTATTGAGAGATTACTCTCAGAATAGGTGTGTGAGTGTCTCTCTCAAAGGCGCTCTCTGTGAAAGATCTCTCAATTTGTCAGACACTTTAATGAAGTTCGACGATATATTAGGTGATATAATTGTTGATAAATTATGATAATAGTAATCCAGTAAAATACAAGGATCATGCCTAGTGACTACCACTTTCCCTCGGACCGCTAAATTTTTAATTGCCCATAAATGGAATCTTTTGATTTTCGAATTTTTAGAGCCGTAAAAGTATTTAAAGCAATAATAAAATTATTTATTAAAAAATATTTTCTAAAAAATAACCAAAGATGTTGTTGTAACAGCAACTACAGCAGCTAACCTTTAAAAATAAAAAAATATTTGTAAAATATTTAAAAGCTACCAAAAATCTTGTGGAGAATTCAAAAAAGTAATTGGAAGCAAACAAATAGCCAAAATTACAAGCAAAACACAAAAACTTATATTTGCATCGAAAAGTGACTTTAAAAATAATTATTTTATTTTTAAAAAATATTTAAAAACTTTTAAAGTATCGTGAATATTTTTTGCTGAGAGAAGGAGGTAAACAACTGTTGTCCCGAACTAAAATTAATTAAATAGAATATTTTTACAAGATAAGACTATTATAAAATAATCTTTGTCTATTTATTTATTTTTTTCTAAAATAAGACCAATCGGTTTTAAATAGACCGAACAGAGAAAAATCACAAAATTTTCATTTGACTGGTTAAAGATTATTCTTGTAAGTCCCTACTTGATTAATGTCAACGCAAATAGAGACAACATTTCTTTAATTAAAAAATATATTTAAAAGAAAATTTTTAAATTAAATTTTATATTTAATTTAAATTCTAATTGTTTTTAATTCTATATAAACTGAAATTATTTTTTCTATTAAATTCACCCCATCCATTTCCCCATAGCTCTTCTTCCAATTTCTGGATAAGGCTGTCTACAATGTTTTTGATATACAGGCCACCTCCTTCTTAAAATAACCCAATTCCTTCCCAAAGCTTTTGATGTAAACATAAATATTAAAGTCATCAAAAATGAAAGTAAAATGCCCGTCCAAAAACCTTTAAAAATATTTTTTAATTCCAAACCCCCCCCCCCCCCCCCAAATAACCAGCTTGTATCATTGCTGTAGGCAAAGCAACCAATCCACCTCCAGCCATATCGCTTACCTTTAAACAAAAATGTTGATTAGAAAATTGGGAATGTTTTTGGGATTTGGATTTATGTAAAGGGTCGGGGGATTACTCGAGACTTGGACCTCAATTTCAATACTAAACTTTTGTAGAACATTGTTAATAACAGAAAAAAGATGTGCCAAAAAATAAGAATTTTTCCAGTAAAGATCCTCCTCGAACTTTTTATTAGGTTCATTCGATTTAGTTATTCGAGATTTAAATTCCCATAAAAAATTCAGAATAAATTAATAAATTAACCACAAACAAACAAGCAACAAACCACCCCAATCCAGTCTTCTTTTTAGATTTTTCTAAATTTTTTTCCTCAATATTTTCATCACAAACTTTATTATTTCCATTAATTATAAAAGGTGGGGGCTTTTCAAAGTTGTTATTTTCTGTAGACATTTTTAAATAAATTAATTTTAAAAAATAAATTTTATTTACAAAATTTCTTTAAAAAAATAATTTTATTTTAAACAATTAATTTTTAAATAAATGAAAATAAGTAAAAATGTTAATTAGAAAGGGACTAAAAATATTTTAAATTAAAATTTATTCTTTAAAAGTACATAGGTAATCAAATTATAATTTAAATATCCCTGTACCTAAAAACCTGATGAAATTAGAAAAATAAAAAATTTAACTATTTGGGATTGAAGTAAGGTAGGTACTGAAGGGTTAGTTTTAATTTACTTTTGTTTTAACGGATTTTTCCAAAGTTAATTATAAATTTTTTTCAAAATTTACAATAAAGTTGTCAACACTTTCACGCTATTTAAATACAAAATTTTTCGATTTTAAGTTGACTTTTTGTTTTTAAATAAATTAAAGAGCAGTAAAGAAGTGTCATTTCCCAAAAAAAATTTTCTTTTTTACAAAAAACTTTCAAAAGTAAAAATTTAACATTTTATTTTTTTACTTTTCACGTGAAAAACAAAAAGAAAATCGTGCAACTTGATATCTGGTACATAAATAGAGGGAGAGAGGGGGAAATTATTATTTTATGTAAAAACTTTAGAAAATTAAATACCAAATAATGACTGATATTAAAACAAAAAATATTTTTTTATGAAATCATTTTTATTAAAAAAAAGTTTTAAACAAAAAAGGTTGTCAAAAAATTATTTAAATAATTTTTTTTTTCGCGTTGATTTTTGAAATTTTGGATCTTGATGAAAAAGTTTTTTTAATTTTTAATAAATTAAAAAGTAAAGTGGCATTAAAAAGTTTTAAATATTTTATTTTATATTTTTTAGTGACTTTGTTTTTTCTATGAATAAAAATGCTTGACATCTTTCAGTAGCTTCGACAAGCCTTGAGGACCTGATTATCCATAAAATTGGAAGGCCCTCAACAAGTTGGAGTTTTGTGTTTAAAAATTAATTTTAATATGTAGCTTTTAATTTAAAATTAAATTTAAAAAAGGGTTAAATTAAAACAATTATAAAGAAGAAAATAACAAAAATAGAAATACTCCAAACATTTTCTTTTAAACAAATAAAGGTTTAAATAATTAATTTGATTTAATAAAAAATTTAAAAGAAAAAGTAGTTTAGTAAATAAAAAAGAGGGGAAAACGTTTTTAAAAGAATAAAAATTAATTTTTAATCAGAAAATTAAATAAAAAAAATTTTTTAAAAATAAATTTTGTTTATTGCCAAAAATTCCTAAAATTTGTTTTTCTTCTCAAAAATAAATTTTGGTTAAATTTAGGGGAAGGAAAGGTATTTTAGACTTAAATTTTTATTTTTACCGACAGAAAGTATGAAACCGAAAATCAAAAAAAATCGAGTTAAGCCTGAGTTTACTTGTTTTGAATTAAATAAATATATTTTTATTTTTATAAAGTTTGTGATTTTAATTTATTTATGTTTGAGAGGATTTCTTAAACTGAATCTAATCCAGAAATATTTATTTGTTTCAAAGTCCATAACAATTTAAAAAAATTAGCTCAAAACACACTGTAATACACATTAATTTTTAAATAAACAATTTTTCTGATTATTTAATTTTGTATTTAAATTGTGGAAGGAATGAGAAAAATTTTAAAAAGAAAATAAATTTTGTAAATATAAATAATTTGAGGAATTGATAAGTAAATAAACGAACAAAAATATTTTTTAAAAAAAATTAAAGAAAAGAAGATAACAGATTTAAGCGACGTTTAGGCGCGAACTTAATTGATATAAAATTTTAATTATTGTAGTAATCTTCTGTTATACATATATAATAATTAATTTATATTGTAAATTAATTGCCCTAATCATAGAGGACAGAGGAGGGTAATTAACAACTAAAATATTTTTATGGACTTTATGGACAAAAAAACAATTTTTCTTTGCAATTTGAAAATTTTTAGTGCTTTCTGTTATTTAGTGTGTTATATTCAGGTAAAAGAGGAATGAGTCTATTTCCTGATTGATGTAAAAATTAATCACATTTTTTAAATATTTGGTTGCTTCTTCTCGCTTAATTTTATTTTTTTAATATTAAAAATGTGAATTGTTAAACTGTTCCTTTTCCTTCTTAACAAATACTTTTAAAAAATTGTCTCTTATCTAAAAATTATTCTAAAAAGTATAAATGTGGAGATTAATAAAATTTACAAAAAAAAATTTTCAATAAAATATTTTTCCAAAGAAAAATTTTCAATTAAAAAATTAAAATTTTATCAATTAAATAATTTAGTGAATTAAATTTCAATGAAAAATGTAAATTTTTGATAATAAAAAAAAAGGAGAAAATAATCTCTCTAAAAACCAAACAAACAAAACTTTTGTTAAAAAATATTTTTGTGACTGAAATTATGTAAAATATTTAAGTAAAGTCAGACCTCACATGTGGCATAGGAAGGTATTGTAGATGATGTTGAAAGGTGTACAATGAAAAAGAATACTCACACGAGATATGAAGTCATATTGGAAATTATATTGGGAATAATTTGGATAAAACAAAAAATTTTTTTATTTGTTAAATTTCATTTTAATTTTCGATAAAAAGAAAATGTTTTCTTTTTTTATTTTATAACAATCCAATGAATCCTGTGTGAATATGGATGGCTTACAAAGTTTTAACCTAAAAATCCAGACATTTGTCAAAATAAAAGAAAATGACAAAAAAAAAATAAAAATTTTAAAATTTAATTAAAGAATAAAAAATAATAAATTAGAGAGAAGCTTTAATTATTTTATAGGGAAAATGTTCGGATATCCAAACTGGCAATCCTGTTATTTCAAATAAAAATAAATCAGAAAAATTTTTAAAATTTTTGTTAATTCTGAAAAATGGAATGATGAGAATGAGAATATTTAAATATTTTTCTTTAGAAAGTGAATAACTAAAATATATGTATATTTTTTACTTTCTCTCAAAACCAAAGTACTCTTAAAAAATTTTTTTACACGTGTGGATCTGAAAATAAAATACTTGTAATTGTTTAACCCCTTCCCTTCCCTTGCTCTTCACTGAAAACGTGTAAAGTATTAACATAATTGAGAGGCACTTAAAAAATTATTTTTACTAAAAGTAAATGGATTAGATAGACAAATTATTTTAGCGAAAATATACACTTACACAGAAAAAAAGTAAATTTGAATAAGACAAGTTCTGCTAAAAAAAATTTTTTTAAACATTTTTGTTTGTCAGTTTTGCATTTAAATAAAAAAATTTAAAACTGCAAAGAACAGCTAAAAAATATTAAATGTTGAAAGAGTGGGGGTGGGAAAAAGATAGCGCTTGTCGAGAGCCTTCTATTTATTTGGATTAGATCAATCATAGAAAAGTTATAGCCGATCAAATTCGGGCGGGGATATAACACAAGAGTACCTTTTCTAAAAAATTTAGAGTTAAAAAATCAACAAATTTAAGATTAAAAAACACAATTTATCATTAAATATAAATTTATTTTTGTTGCAATAAAAAATTGAGAAAAAATTTTTTCGAAACAAATTTAAAAAACACAAAAATATCAACACAAATTTAAAATAAAGTGTTGATATTTTGGGGGAAATATTACATTCTGATTAGGTTTAATTTTTTTGAATTTAGAGATCAAAAAAGTATTAAAAGACAATTAGGGCAAATATCAAGAACAAATAATATACAAATAAAAATTAAATGATACTCTAAAAATATTTTTTTCTTGACAGTTCATTCCAAATATTTTTGATTTTCCTCATAGTAAACAAAACTAAGTTTTAAAAAACTTCTGCGAACTGTACAGAATTTCCTAAATTTTCTCCAATATCTATGAAATAATAAAAGCAATCTTTTTTTTAAATAATTTAAATTAAATAAAACAGAAAAAAACTAAAAGATTGCCTTTTATAAATAAAAACAAACAAAAATATATTCGAAAAATAATAATAAACAAATTGTGAGGAAATTGGGCAATTAATTTGAAAATAAAATAAAAATTCTTTTAAAAATTATCATCTCTCAACTAAACACCCAACAGAACGTGCTGCTTCTAACGATTCTTTAATTTCTTTTATCATTAAATTTTTATCATGAGAAAATTTTGGGTTTTGAAGCAATTTGTCTCTACACATTGTAAGCATACGACCAAGAATATTTGTTCCTCTAAAATTTAAAAATTATATGGTTATTTGCAAGGACGTTTATTTCGTGTAGGGCTAAGGAGAGCTAAGACAAAGACAACAAAAATGGTAACAAAAAATATTAAGAGAAGAATGACTTTTTAAAAATTTTGTTTGTATCGGGATTGAGGTGACAAAAATAACAGCTATTCTTCAATAGGACACTATCCAAGACCCAGTGGCCGCAGGTCCCGAAATCAGTAGGGTAACTGTTCATACATTCAAATATCCCGATATGTCTGCGTGCCTTTAGTTTCGACGGTAGAATTAAACTAGGATAATTTTTAAGCACATTTGTAACTATCCTTAAATTAATACAAAAAACTCCAAACTTCACCCACTTCCATTCATTTTTATCACGAATACGCCAATCATCCATAGGCAATCCAATCCCCCATCGTTTATCTGTAGGGTTTACTTCAATAATTTCAGCTCAACTTGTTTCAAAAAGTTGCAGACGCAAATCTCTATTTAATGAATATTTGTAATATGTTGCTATAGCCATAACCTTTAAAAATAAAAATTAATTGTTAAAAAAATTCTCTTCCAATCACCTGAATACTAATTTTAAACCATTTTGATTGATCAAAACCAACAACTTGAGAACCTATCCTTTTCATAAATTTTGGATCCCTAGTCCTCATAATATCACTCATAGCCTTTCTGTCATTAAAAACTTTAGCTTTGTAGAACATATAGTATTGCTCGGTACAGCAAAAGAATTGGCCTGTAAAAGTTGAAAATTAAAAGTAGCCTTAGAATTTTAGATTTTATATTTAACATAAAAATGAGAAGGAAAAGAATATA